ATGGCACGGTGAATCATAACCAGACGCTTTTTTTGCGCTGGGACATTCATAAGATCTACATCCTCCTCACTATCGCTACCCTCAATAAGGTCCTCTTCTAACCACAGCCTACGCAAATGACGTTTCAGCGGGGCCATAATCCCGACATCCAGAGGGCACAGTGCTCGTCGCGTTTGGTGGAATGGCCGCCACAACGCAACCCGCCTCTTCACTGGCAATCTTCATTCCTTCCTTGCTCACATGCGGGTCAAAATTGTCAACTAAGTGCACAGATGGCTCTCTCACCTGTGGCTTCAACACCTTTCGAAGGTACATGGCCCAGACTCGAGAATCCATCCAAGCTCGTTCTTGGACAGCATTGGTCGGCCTGAGTTGTCTTGGAACGCGACGGCTTCTGACGCGAAAATCCGTGACGAGCGCAGAACCTTTGGAGGAGCTTGAGAAGGAATTGGTAGCCATTGGTATTGTTCCTGAGGTACGCGGATAGCCAATCTGGATGGTAACGCTTCAGGTAGTTGACGAGATGGGTGCAGGTTACCGCACGCTTGGCCTCGCGGAGCATGACCATGAAGGCTTTCAAGGCAGCAGTGTCAGGGATCTCTTCTGGCCTGCCGGCACCGTCGAGGTTGAACCGCTTGCCGCTGCCATCAAAGCTCTGGAGCTTTCCTGACTGCTGCGCCCAACGAGCAAGATTGCTCTTCGGGATCCCAGTTGCTGCCTGAAGGTCGCGGGTGGAAGCGGATCGAAGGACGGTGACCATTGCGCGCTTTAACGCCTGGTTGTAGCGGCGTCTGGGTTTCTTCTGGGGACTGACGTTGGTACGGCACCTTGGGGGCATAAGAGGAAAGACTGACGAGCTTGTGATGACTGGCAAGGGCATGAGCGCGCGAATTTTAAATGTTTCGCGCCAAATTGTATTTTTGTCCAATTAAATCTTATCATTTTTACTTCTTGGATTTAATTGGTTAAAAAGTTTCCACTTGGTTGAAAACTTCGGCTGTCCCTTAAAATCCGTCGTTAACTGTATTTATGGACATTCGGCCCTTTGCGCAAGTATTTGCGCAACCCCTGAAACATGATATTTATCGGGTTTTGACGGTACTTTTGGTGTTGAGGTCACGGACTCTGACACGATGGAGTCGAAGGCCCAGCGCGATGCTCACTCAGCATTGATCCAGCGTCGTGGGTCAACCACAGCGCACGAAAGACCAATGATACCAGGTACGCGACCCATGACATC